AGAGTAGAGGAAAAGGGAATGAGGTGTGGCCACCCACCCCCACCCCCCATGGGGTGATTTCTTGTTTTCCATTTCTGTCTGCATGAGCCCTATAGCAAAAACAAACAAACAAACAAACAAACAAACAAAAAAACTCTCAAAAAAAAGTATTTATTTAATTTCAGTTATTCATTCATTTATTTTAATTTGTCCAGAGAAAGACAGACACACAAAGAGAAGGAAAGTAAGAAAGCAAGCCACCGAGTCTGGGACTTGATCTGTGGTCGGCCATGTGGGAGTGTCCAGCACCTCAACCACCACACTACCTGCTGGCCCGCTTCCTGGACCCTCTTTCTCTCCTGTATGTGTTTTCTACAATGAATAAAATAACCTTAAGAGAAGAAAGATCGTCCTCATCTGATTGCGTTCTCTCTAGACCAGTAGTCTGCCCTCTGCTCAATCTGAAGCAGAACGGTTCTGGCTCTTGCTTACTCACTGCCGCCATCAACGTCTTTCCATCACAGTTTGAAAAGCAGCTCCTCTCACTTTCCCAACTGTCCTACCATTGCCTATAACATTGAACCACAGTTAAGGTGGCCATGTGATCCAGAATTCAAGCCACTTGTGAGACACTTAAGGGAGTCAAAGTGGGCCCGCAGATGGTGTAGTGATTACAACCCTGGACTCCCATAGGACTGACTGCGGTTCGAGTCCCAGACCTGGTGGCTTGAAACACACATCAGGCATGTGTGCATGCGTGCACAAAATCCTGGGAGGAGAGTGGAGGAGGAGGGGATTGCAGCTTGGCCATCCTCCCTGAGGGGTGATTTCTCACTTCCCCTCTCAACTGTCTCTGTCTCTCTCGGGTAAGCATGTGTTCCCTAAGGCAAACACCTCTAAAAAAAGAAGAGTCAAAGTGGACACTCTTAATGACAACACTGAGATAAACAGATGTTCTTGGCCAAACTGAGGTGTCTGGTTCTCAGGTTGGGAGTTTGGCTGCTAAACCTGGGGGACTTCTCAAGGACGAGGGCCAACATTTATATAGCCGGGTATCCCAGCATCTTCCCACAGCCTGATGGGTGGCAGGTCTGGGTATAGGGAGTGCCAAGTAGTCCTTTTGAGGGCTCCACAGGATGCTGAGTAGGAGCACTGTGGGCAGCTCAGAGTTTCACCTTTGACCCCCTTGCCCCTGGCTACACTATTGTTGACAGTGTCTGGGCTTTCCTCACACCTACTCCCTTTGTGTGCTTTGACCTTTGTATCCACAGCTTCCGGTAATCTCCATGGTGCCTGGCTGAGACCTGCACCAAACCTGGGCCCAACTTCCCTGTCCTCCTTATGGTCAGTGTTGGTGAGTACCCACTAGTTAGCATGGATGCTGATGATCAGTAACCATGAGCTAGTGACCAGGCCCAGCAACTTAGAACTTGCAACTTGCAGCCAAACAGTGGCATGGCAGTAAAATGAGATGTTCCGTGAAGCTGACCCACATGAGAAGGTCCCAGGTTCATGTATGCTAGGCATGTGCTGCCATGATCTGGGGTTGGTTGAGGCTGGCGGTGAATCATGGCATCAAGACCTTATTGGGGGCAGGACAAGCAGATGGCATTAAATTCCCATATAGTCGACTGTGATTCGAGTCCTGGACCCAGAAGCTTAAAACTCATGCCGGATGTACATGCCTAAAATCCTGAGAGGAGAATGGAGAAGGAATTGTGGTGTGGCCATCCTCACTGGAGGGTGATTTCTTGCTTTCTGTATCTCTGTCTCTTTGGAGAGCACATGGACCCTATAGCAAAAATCTTTCTAAAAAAAAAAAAGAAGAAGAAGAAAGATCTTATTCAAAAAACTTTTTTTCTCTCTTTTCCCCATGGAGGAGATAAATAAATCAACTTAAAAAAAAAAAAAAGAGGAGGGGGGCTGGCAGGTGGCATGGTGGCTGAGGGTGCTGGACTCCCCATGGCCAACCACGCGGTTTAAGTCCTAAACCTGGCAGCTGCTTTCTCGCTTTCCTTCTCTCTCTCTCTCTCTCTCACTCTGTCGCTCTCTGGTCAAATTAAATATATAAGTTAAATAAAATGATTCTTGGGGCCAGCAGGTGGTGTGGTGATTAAGGGCGTTGGACTCCCACATGGCCAACTGTGGTTGGAGTCTCGGACCTGGCAGCTTGCTTTCTCACTCTCCACACCCCCCTCACTCTCACTCTGTCCCTCTCTGGTTAATTTTTAATGGTACCAGCAGATGGCATAGCAGTTACTTCACTGGACTCCCATATGACCCACAGTAATTCTGTTCCTGAACCCAGCTTCAAAATCATGCCAGGTGCGAGTGCATGCATCCCCAAGATCCCAGGAGGAGAAGGGATTGCTGCATGGCCATTCCCCCTGGGGGATGATTCCTCGCTTCCTCTCTCACTGTGTCTGTCTCTCTTTATCTCTCTGGGAGTGCATGTGCCCTAAGGCAAATACTACTAAAACAAGAATAAAAACCTGCAACTTGTCTTCTGTGAATCCCTTTCCCTCCTGCAATCCCCGCTTCTGGCTCTTATTGTGTAACCCCTGGCTCTAGGGTTTCCTGGATGGCACCCAAAAGCATCTATTTCTCCATCTTTCGGGGCTCTGCATTAAGAAGCTCTGTAGGAAGGCAGGCTTATCTAGGCCAGACCTAGTCTGCATGATCAGCCTGCTAAAGTCTCTCACCTCCCTAATTATTGTTAGGGTGGCTTCGCCCACTCACCCGGGCATTCCGACCTGCCCCTCCTTTTCAGAGGAGGGTGGAGGGTTGGAGAGGTGGGGCAGGAACCAAACCCCTTGGATTCTAGGATTGTTAGATGGCTCCCTACCTCCCTGGTTTGATTCTAGGACTTCATCAGAGGGGAAATGTGCCTCCATCCTCAAGTTCAAGCCTGTATGAGCAGAACTGCCAGGAAGGGGTGAGAGTCACTGAAATGGCCTAGGCCTCTGTCTCCCCATGGGAGGGCTGCACAGGTGATCTGTAAGTTCTCCAGTGCTGACATCCTACACACTCCACATTCAAGCTGTACCTCTCGGCTGGGCACAGCCACGTGTTCCTAGGGGTCTGCATGGGGGATCTTCTTTTCCTTCTCCTTTTATTTTCTTTTTTCTTTTCTTTCTTTCTTTCTTTTTTTTTTTTTTTTTTTTTTTTTAATTTTTTTTTAATGTGCTCGCCAGAAAGACAGAGAGAGACAGAGAGACAGAAAGCGAGAAATCACCCCCCGGGGGGATGGCCACGCCGCAATCCCTTCTCCTCCATGCTCCTCTCAGGATCTTGGGTACGCACACACACGCACGCAGTGTGAGTTTAAGCCACTGGGTCTGGGACTAGAACCGTGGTCGACTACGTGGGAGTCCAGTGACATAGCCATTATGCCAACTGTTGGTCCCTCCCTCACCTTTTCTCTTCCCAAATTGTCCTTGGGCTCCAAGAGTCTTGGGCAGATTTTTACCTTTTATCTCCTAGTTGTCCCAGAAGATAAAAGGCCGGGAACAAGCAAAGGCCTGGGCCATACTTCCTAGACTTGCTGTAGGCCTTAGTTCTAGCCCATCCTGAGCCCAAGCCTGAATCTCAGAGCCTCCTAGCTGAAGCAACAAACTAAGTTCAAATAAAAAGTAGGAAGAAACCTCACAGATTAATATAGTGACCACTTAGAAACAAAAGTATGACAGGGAAAGGGGATTTATTGGTCTACGTAGTGGAAAAACGCAATAGTGTACGAGCTTCAGGCACAGCTGGATCCAGTCAACTTAATTATCTGGAATTGTCTCCATCTGCCCTGGTTCTGGATAATTTTTGGTTGCTTCATACTTAGGCAGCCTTAACTCTTGTGGTGGCAAACGGCCTGCCAGACTTCCAAGCTCATATTCCATTGTCCTTCTCAATAGTCCTGCGTAGTTCACTGCTGTATCCCTAGCCCCTATCATGTGGTGTTGGATGGTTACAACAAAAATCTGAACACAGACTCTCATTGGTTCAGACTGAGTCACACGCCCATCTTCAACCCAATCAGTGTGACTTACCTTACTTGGGTCATATGAGTAGGGCCAGCCCACTAAATGCATGGATTGTGATGAGCTGAGGGCAGTTCCTCCAAAAGGGAGACATGGGTCCTGTTAGAAGAGCTGCAGGCAAAACTGCATCCTTAGAAGGCAGAGCTATGCCTTGTTCTCATCATTCACAACGTGGCCCTACACTGAAGATAGCCTGGCTTGGATTCTGGCGGTGCTGGATGTGCTGAGCTCCTAAAGCTGCAGTCCCAGGATAACCCTCATTAGTGGAGAATAAGAATAGAGCTGATCTCTGGATGCTGAGCTTCTTGTGGCTGATCAGATGGGGGTGGGGATTCCTTCTGTCAGGACAAGGGTAATTCCAGGTGTGGGCCCTTCCAGTCTAGCCCTCCAACCTGTCAGGAGCTTCAGATCGAAGGTCTCATTTCTTCATTTAGATTGGGGTGGCTTGGAGGGAGGGCGGGGCTAGGCTGGCTAGGCTGTGGGCCGAGACACCGCAGATCAGCACCTTACACCTCATGAGGAATACTGCTAAGAGGACCCTGGAGCCCACTCTCTCTACCCACTCCCTGACTCCCAGTCTTCTCTCTCCTCCCCGTATCTGAGAGAACAGAGTAGGGTGGGGCAGGTTGCGCAGAGGAAGAGGTCTGACTCGTATGTCTTTCAGCTGTTTTATTAAGAATAAGGCATATGACAGTCACCCCTAAAGCACAGGGCTCTATTTCTGTGGGTGAGTGAGTACACTCTGAAAAGCATTGGATTAAAAAGCGCAGCCAACAGAGAATTGGGAGCAGAATCCCTCTGCCCTGCCCACGGGGCTCCCTCCAGTGGTTTTGAAGCCCTGCGTATCCCCGGCTCACCGCTGGCCTGTCGGCGCGGAAGGGTGCTCGTAGCCCTCTGGTTCTCCACACCAAGGAGATGCTGCTCTGTACCCGCTTGGCCTCCTTCCTCTCCACCAGGGAGGGCTCTCTCCTGCTGTGTCTGGGAGAAGGGCTATCCTGCTCCAGCCCCGGACAGTGCCCCCAAATTGCAGGTCACTGTGGTGGATGGAGGGAGCAGTGGCACAGAGCCGCACACGGCCTTGCCCATTGTGCCCTGCTTGTTCCACAGCTGAGGGGTCCCCACCTGCTGCTTTCCCTGCTGGGTCTGCCCATACTTGGCCTGTGGCAGGATCAAGACCTAGGGACCCCAAGTGTCCCTGTTAATGCCTCCCCTCCCAGTGGGGACTCACACAAAAGAGGAGAGTGGAAAAGAAACCACCTTTCCCCTTTTGGGTCACCCAGATATATTCCAGGGAGGGTAGGAGGCTTTCCTTTGGCCAGTTGGGTTCTTTAAGCCAGGGCCTAGGTAGGGGTGGGAGCTGAGGGCAGGGCTCTCCCAGGTCCCAAAGGAGGAGTCCAGGGCCAGTGACTCCAGCTCCCAGTCCCATTTTGCTGTGCTGAGGGTTCTGTTCCAAACCCAGGGCAGGCGGGTGGAGGGATGTCTATTTCATTATTTCCAGGAGAGGATGGGGAAGGGGCATTTCTGTTCAACTTGGTACCCTGTATCTGCTTCATCCGCCCCTCCAGTGTGCTGGGGGAAGTGTTGCCTATTTCTTTTCCCAGGCACCCTCAACACCCCCGCTCCCAGTCAGCCACCCCAGCACTCAGAATCTTTCATCTGAAGGATCTCCAAGCACTCCCCAAACAATTAAGTGTCATTATCTCTGGTTGCTGGAAGAGACACGGGGGTTGGGAGGTGTTGATGGGGTCACTTGGGGAGAGGCAGGCAGGCCACTGGTGGATCCCTGGGGCTGGGGTGTGGTGGGGCCCTAGCTGGACACCCTGAGTATCCGGTAGGGAAGGAGGAGAGAGCTATTGCTATAGAGCTGGGAGGGAGGCCAGGCGGACACAGCTATGGCTTTTAGTGGCTGGGAGGGTGGGTGGGAGGAGAGAGGACTTCACCATCTCTGTAGAAGAGTTGACATAACAGTCACTCTGTTCACCCCAAAAGTGTGGCTGTGGAAGATGAGGCTCTGTGTAGGCTCCTCTGGAAATAGACCTCTTCCCTCCTCCCCACAGTCCTCCAGGTACCTCCAAGAGAGAGGAGTGAGGCCTCCCCACACAGACAGGTCCTGAAAGAGGTTGGATGAATCACACACACTTGAGGGGAGACAGAGATGGCACAGGCACAACTGCAGGGACTGGTGAGGGGTAGAGGCAGGGGCAGGCAGAGCTAGGACCCCAGACCACTGTCTGTCCCAAGGGTGCCCCCAGCCATCTGAATCCCAGGAACTGGACACCCAGCCCAGGCCTGGTTATTGCTCAGTGGTCTTGGCAGTCCTGAGGGGGAGTAGGCTGGGAGGGGCTGCATGTCAGATCGGGCCGGGGGTGTGCTCACGGGGTCCTGCTTCTTGCCAATTTCCCACTCTCTCTTAACACATACAGTGAAAGGGGATGTGCTTGGATTTCCCCATTTTTCCCGGGGCCATGATGGGAGAAGAGTCTGTCACCCCAAGATTGAGTCTGCTCATCCGCAAGACCCCTGGGTGACAAAAAATGTGTGTCAGACCCTCATCCAGGGCCAGGCCTGCCAGGAGTGGGGTGTGCGAAGGAGGTAAAGGTCTCTCCCTGTACTCCACCCCCTCCCTCAGGGCCCCTGAAGCACTCACAGGCACTTAGGACTCACACAGGAGGGTGGGGGCTCTAGGGGTTGGTGTTTCTTTAGAGGCTGGGCTTGGGGTGAGGACAATCAACTGGACTAAAACTGCACTTCCTGCCTTTGGTAGTGAGAGGGGAGCTGGGGAGTTAAGAGGCGGGCACCCCTAACCTAGACAGAACAGCACTGAGTACCCACCGCTGTTAGGTTCTGATAGGCTTGGGAGCACCCTGGATGGCCGCCAGGCTGGGGGCCAACCTGTGCTCCCACCTCCCCCCAGCCCCAGCAAGTCCAAACTTCTATCAACAGCTACCACAGCCAAGAAGCCAGGCCCTCCTTCTTCCCACCTCTGGGTGCAGCCAGCTGATTACGAAGCTGGGCAAAATTAGCACCAATAAACAGGCCCAGGAGAACTCCCAGGACAGCCCTCCGGCTCCCAGCATCCTCCTGAGGGGAAAGGCTTTCTGCCTTTCCCGGCCTGGCCCTGCAGTTGGCCGGTCTCCTTGCCTCCCTTCCACCTCACCTGCTTCCTAAGCCCAGCTCCTAGTCTCCTGCATACCTAGCGCGGCAGACCCCGGAAAAACTGAGCTGTAGACAGCCCTCGGCCAGGTTCTGCCTTCTACAGCATTCCCTAGTCCTCTCAAGGGTCCATGGGTGCCACTGTCCAGAAGTGAGACCTTCATTAGGCCGCACTTGCCGGGAAGGGACTCTGGAGGGGAACGTGTCCTCTAAAGTGTTCAGTGCTCACCTGCCAGGACCTATCGGCGGGAGGGGCAGGGAAGCGGCTCCCCTGGAAAAATCAGCCGCAGGCCTGAGCTTCTCCTCCGGAGGGAGAAGGCTTGGCGAGAAGATGGCCTTCGGGCAGGGGGAGACCCGGAAGGGGGCTGGACGGCTTAGGGGTGCCAAGGGTCACTCTACGTCCCTTTCCGTAGGCCAGCCCAGCTTCCTCCTCCCCCCAAGGATTGTCAGCTTTCTCGGGGCAGGGAGTGACCCCCCCTCCCCCCAGTGGCAGGTGGGGACCAGTGAGAATAGGTACTGAAAGTCCTCTCCGCAAAAAAGGTGCTGTTCGCTCGGCCCCGCAGGGCAGCTCCCTCGCCGGAGGGCAGAGCTTGAAGCTTCGGAGACGTTGGGAAATACAAACGGCGGGGGCGGGGGAGCTGGGGCCGCCTCTGCCCTCTCGCTGCTGGAGC